ATCGCACCATGACGTCCAACACCAGCACCAACTCCAACTCGATCCTCCTTGGCGACGCCCAAAACACGTCGTTCTCTGTACTCTCAGGACGTCCTCGACGCTCTAGCACCAGTGGTAGTTTTGAGAGTATGCTCGTGGACGGCGCGCTTGCTGGGAATGGTAATCCTTATGGTCGTACGAGCGAATTTAATAGGACAATAACAACAACAAGCTCTACAACAATAAATAATGGCATGGGCGGCAGCAGCGCTGCAACTCTTGCTCATACACTGCATATTCCGCTCACTCCTGCTCACCCCAAAGATCGTTTTCCACGCGCGAGCACCACAACGGGTTCGAGCACGCGCCGAGTCTCTACCTCTGCGTCTGCCTGGGCCGACTGGCTTTATTCCACAATCCGCTATCGTACATTCAACTATTGGTCCAGTAACAGCAAAAACGGCGCCAATCCAAACGGCCTATTGGGGCTGCGTGCGTCGCGGTCGAGTGCCGATCTGAGCAGCGAGAGCGAGACATCGAGCATCATGACGATGATGAGGGGCAGCGAAAATGCAACCATGTCGAGTCCGATCGCAATGACTCCTCCCAGATCTCTCTCCCCAGTCCACCGTGATTTCTCGGGCAATTTTGACGAACGGCTTGGCCGTGAACCTGACGCGGTCTCGACGACGACTCGTGCCGAGTGGGCACCGCTCCCCGCAGGTAATCATGCACAGGTGCGTCTGCGCAGTCCATACACACACACTACAACATCAAAAACTACGCACTACACCTCCTTGTTTCATCTCCACATTATATAATCTCGACCGGGCGTTGGCTGACTTTGTTCTTCTTTTCTTGTTCCCCCTCTCTTCAAAACTCTAATTGACTCGCTCAATTGGCATACACGCGTAAACCACACAACACCCCGCACTTGCCTTTTTCCACTCATGTTCTTGTCATATAAATGGCACGGAATTGATATTCGGACGTTATTGCAACAACAACAGAACTACACCCCACTTCTCTTTGTCATCCTTCTCTTCCCGCTGTCCACCGCCCTCGTTATTGGTTCGCTCTGGACACTTCCAATTCGATTGCCCTCGACATATGACGAGAACACGGCTGCTTCGAATCGGTCCGTCTTTCCCCATACGATTAGTGAGGTCAAGGCCCTCGCTTGGGAACTCCGAGGGTACTCGGAGACGGGACCTTGGGAATTAGGGCATGTTCTACTCGTCCTCAGCATAACCGCTGCATGGAAACACGCCTGGAGCATACCGGGAAGTGTATTACTTGTGAGTGTTTCCACAGATTTTATAGGGGCAGGCACTGATTTTTGGGGGGAATAGAATATATTGACCGGCACATTGCTTTCACCTTTCTGGGCTACCCTTTTACAAACCACATTGACAACAATTGGTTCTGTTCTTTCCACCATTTTGGCTACTCCGCTCACCCCCATCATCACCCGCTTCTTCCCCTCTGCCATCGCCCTCACCCGCAACGCCCTCCAAGGTACCTCATCCACCAACACCACTGCCTCTCGGCGATCATCCACCGCCAAATCACCATCTTCAACTTCTTCAAGTCCATGGGCTCGCCTCTCCGTCCTCCGCCTCATCGGTATCGTTCCCTGGTCGGGCATCAATATTGCCTCGGGCGTATGTTCCGTCCCCTTGCTCCAATGTGCGATTGGCGCGTTTATTGGGACATTGCCCTGGACGGCCGTGACGTGCCAGATTGGCGATATCCTACAGACGGTCGCGTCGGCTCCGATCTCGCCCAATGCGCAAGGGCAGATGACGGTCAGCTCGGTGCTCACGAGTCCACAGACGGTGATCAAACTCTTTGTCCTCACCCTCGTCAGTCTAGCGCCCATTCTCGCTAAAGAGCGCTTAAAGACGTGGTTGAATGGTGAGGAGGAGAGTAGTGAGGAGGGCGAGTGGGTGAATGGAGAGATGAGGGAGCGCAAGAGCAGGCGGTACCACCACAAGAAGCGATTCTCGGTCGAGTGGTGGCGTCGTAGTCTCTCCTTGTCGCGGAGTGGCCGAAAGGAGGAGGATGAGGGTGCTGACGAGTTGGAAATGTTGGGCCCTGACGAGAGGGCCTAAATGGAAGCGAGTTTAACTGGCTCTGTCTCTTCCCCTTTCGATCATCTCTATTTAACCCTTCTCGGATCCGACGCATTTTACGGCCCCGGCTGTTTCCTATGTACACTTTGTGTGTGTACATTTCGATTCATCATCACCTATTTTCCATCGGCATTTCTATCGGAAAACCTTTATTCCCTAAAAGTCTCTATATCCACAAGATCAAGTCATTTTCATCAAAGTATCACCAACCAAGCAGTAACGTGTAATGATCATCAATAGCTTTTTTCTTTTCCCAGTCGCAGCAGCGGCAGCAATTTTCACATCAACCCATCGCAATCAAACCTTGCAAGCAAACCAATCTCTAGCACATTCTCACTACAACAACACATTGTTCTGGTTTTCTACATCTATTACTGTATATAACCCCCTTCCCCTTCACATTATTGGATCCGTCGCTCGTGTTCCATTTATCTCTGTTTGCTCTTGACACGGTTTTGGCAAGTTTCAGATCTTGATTGTCTCCCTTTTCCCCTATTTTTGCTGCCCTTTTCTCCCATTATCTAGCTCGTGTCTCGTACATTGTCTGCTCATCTGCAATGCACAGCTATTCGAACAAACTGTATGACTTATAAGTTTCATGAGCCTCAGATTGCAAGTTTGGGACGATAGTGATAATTGTACAATTGATCGAGGATATATACACGATTGGCGATCAATATAAGAGCAAGGTATTGATAAGGCCCATTTGAACTAATACAAAAGAGTAAAACCCCATAATTGGTCAAGGTTAAAAAAAAAAGAAAAGGAAAGAGCTAGTGCACAACACCGTCAAATATTTTGCTTGATTAATTCGGTGTCTTTTTTATGGTACTTGCAAAGCGAAGAGGTCAAGAGGTTCAGAACCCGTTGGCATTGTGACCCATGCCAAAGGGATTTCCGCCTAGACCGTTCTGGTGAGAGGGAGGCTGCTGCTGTTGCTGCTGTTGCTGCTGCTGTTGTGGTGGTGGTGGTTGCTGTTGCTGTTGCTGGCTGTTAACGAACATATTGAAGGCCGGACCGCTTGGATTAAAGTGGAAGGGGACGGTGGGGGTAAGACCTTGGTTCAAAGTGAACCCAGGAGTTGGTTGTGGTTGCTGCTGCTGCACCGTGGTGGTATTAAGGGTGGGTGGTTGGATAATTTGAGGGGATTGAGGAGAGTTGATTCCATTAGCCTGGTTCTCGAGCCTATGTTGGATGTCGTCAGTAATCAATTGCTGTCAGTCATAGGTCAAAGACGTACATTCGGCGGAGACGCTTATTAGATGAATAAATACGGTTGTCGGCAGTTGCTCCCTGAGGTGGTCGCTTGCTCGGATCTGATGATTGCCCAATATGATGACCATTTCCTGAGTTTCCAGTTGGGGGATTTGGGGGCCTCGCAGTTGAAGTGCTCGGAGCTCCAAACCCTTGTCCACCGAAAGGATTAGTACTAGGGGTAGGAGGAGCTCCAAAAGTGAACGGAGGAGGACCGCCCGATGTATCCATGCTGTTTCCGGAGGTATCGAGAGGTGGGTGAGGCCAATTGGCCGAACCCGGTGTCGATGGTGCGGAAGGAGTAGCAATAGGACGCGATGAACTGGGAGTGGCAGGAGTGATCGTCTTGTTGGGAAGGGCGGGCGTAGATACGACTGATGGCGGCTTGCTGGAGCTCGCAACCTGGAACGGGAACTGATGTTGGGTCGCTGGATCAAACGCTGAGCTCACAGGGGCAGGTTCCGGTCCCCCTGCGGCAAACAGGGCATTTCTTTCCTCTTCCATAAATTCGTTCGAGGAAGGGGCGCCTTCGGGTTTCCCGTCTGGCGATTGCGCCAAGTTTACTTTGGGCAAGGGAGGCGTGAAGACAGATTGAACGATGACTGGGGTTCCAGTGTTATGGAAGGGGTTGATCCCGGAGTTCACGTTGGAGCCAGGTTGAGGGGTGGCATTGGATGTTCCAAAAGCCCCAAGACTAGTCCATGAAGCAGATGGCGTAGGAGCATGGCCCGTACTGCTCTGGGCAAAGCTTGATCCTCCACTCAGTGTAGATCCGCTAGGACCACTTGATTGAAAACTGAATGGCGAAGGCTGCAGAGCAGAAAGAGGCACGGCCGGAGAGGAAGCCGTAGGCTTTCCGAATAAGCTGTTTGAGTTGCCAAACGGACTCGCTGTCGCGGCTTGGGCAGGGGTTGGAGTGCCCACAGCTAGACTGGGACTCGTTGCTTGTGGTTGGCTCGATACAGACGTTAATGAAATGGGATTGGGCTTTGGAATGCCACTCGGTTGTCCGAACAGGTTGACAGTGGGCGCTGAAGTCGTCTTCGGCAGGGATGCCTCCGATCCTTTATTAACAAATAGATTAGGGATCGCAGGTGGTTTGCTTTGTTGTGAGGGGGCGGTACCGAGGGAGAATAAGTTCGGCTTTTGAGTCGATGAGGAGATCGACGGAGTGCTAGCTGAGATTTGGAAAGGGAAGGTGGGAGTATTCGAAGTGCTAACAGAGCTGGCATTTGAAGTAGGAGCATTTTCGGTTGGTTTGGCACCTACGGGTTCTGTCAGCTTTGAACATAGATCCTGGAAGAGGCTTAGCTTACCAAACAGAATTGGAGGTGGTTGTGTGAAAATGGTGGGCTGCAAGGGTGTAACCTCTGCAGGCTTTGGGGTAAGGGTCAAAGGGGGAGTAGGCGCTTGGAGGGTGATGGCCGGTGTGACCTTTGGAGTTGGGGTGGATGGGGGTGGCCAGGTATAGGCAGTAGCGGGGAATACTGGGACGACTGGTGGTGCCAAAGAAACCGGAGCTGCTTCCTTGATGATAGTTTCCTGAGCTGGCGCTTCTGGCATAACAGGTACAGGGACTGGTGAGGTGTTCTCTGCTGTGGGCTGCTCGCGTGCGATAGGGATAGAGGTGACCTTTGGCTCTTCTACCTCTCGCACAGGGATGACCGGAGAACGTTGGCTCATGGCTTTGCGAGGCGGCATCGCGAGGTGAGGTGGCAAGATAAACCTCGAGAGGTCAGGGCTGCCAGATCCAGCCGTGGAAGCTGCGGCGATAGTGCTGCCTCCTGGAATGCGAGTAGAAGAGGCAGCAGCCTTCGAGGCAGCCCTCTTCGCTGCGGACGACGATTTGGGATAAATCGGTTTCGGGGAAGGATTGACCTTTCGCAAGTATTTAGAGGCAGCATCGAGCATGGGGTCGTTGAGCGCAAGTCGTGGGTCGACAGGCTCGAGGGAGACGAATACGTAGTTCTCCGAATCAATGGAAGAGTCCTCCTTGGCCCGAGTGTACTGCTCATCGTTGAACCATGCATGGAAAACATCGTCTTCGGTTGGCTAAATAAACAATCAGTCAAATGTTCTCACATGAAACTCGAAAACGAAAAGAGATTGACTTACAAGTCTGATGGCACGCGAGGGCTTGCGTCTGACTGTAATCTCGCAGAGTCGCTCACGAAGTCCGTCCATGCCTACTCTGAATCCCCACTTCCTGTTCATCCACATTTTCCCGACCTTCCTGCTCTTGCAGAGAGGGTCTGTAGAGGTACAACCATCAGCCTCAAGCCACGTTTTGGGTGTAGCTGCTTCCTGATCCTGAGTCGTAGCGACATCATCCACAGTAGGAGGGGTGGTCTCATTGGCCAGAAGAGCCTGGCTCTTCCTGCTATTGGATGGGGTGGCCGTGAGCGGTGGTTCGAGCTCGAGTTCAGTTGTGGTCTCAGTCTTGAGCCTCTTCCTTGCAACCTCGGGCTCGTATGTGTCAGTTTCAGATGCAGCCTGAGCACGTGTACGCTTGGCAGCCCTGGTGATTTGCTCAATTGCCGGGTTACGGACAGGAGCCTTGGAAGTTGTAGCTGGTGTCGCCTCAGGTTCCTTTTTGGTGGCCTGAGACTCTTTTTTCGAGCGCTTCGTCGAGCGTGCTTGCTCTTCTGAGTTGTCCTGGTCGAGCTCCATATACTCGGTGGTATCGACATCAGTGGCTACTCGTTTCTTGCCGTGGACCTTCTCCGGCTTGTCGGGGTTGGGCAATTCGTCAACTTCCATCTTGTTCTGCTTAGAACGTTTGGAAGAGGAAGAAACGGAAGGTGCCTTCTGAACTTCGGGGATGATGACCATGGCCGAAGGTGCCTCGACGGGGACGGCGGCAATAGCAACAGGGTATTGGACAAGTTGGACAGGTTGAACAGGCCGAGAGGGTGCAGAGGTTTGAGGTACAATGTGTGCTTGTGGTGGATACCACGAACCGTATTGTTCTACGACAGGGGTTTCGACTGGGAAATGGCCAGGAGGCGCTGGGCCGGGGTATTGTGGCGAGGCCATCCGGACTGGAGACACGGCTGGTGAGCGAGGAGCAGTGCTAGCGTCGGAGCGTCTTCGTCGGAGACCAGTGCTTTGGGCCTCATTAGCTCGGGGCTTCTTGCTTTGTTTTGTCCTGAGCTCTTTTCGTGTCCGCTCCTCAGTGAGGCGAGCTTCTGCCTCACGTTCTTCGCGTAGAATCCTTTCGAATTCGTCCTCAAATAGATCGTCGGAGGAGCCTGGCAACACCTTATCAGGCTAATCCACAAACAAGGAAAGGCGCCGACTACTTACGGGGTAAAGAGCCAGGAACGTCCCAAGACTCGCCTTTGGCGTACTTTTCTTGAATGAACCGTTCCTTTCTCTCCGCTAATTCACGTTCGCGCTTCTCCTTTGCGAGCTGTTCTGGCGTAGGCTTGGGTGGCAAAGGCCGACCAAACTCGTCCCACTCGGTGAGCGCAATAGTATTGCCAAACTCATCATCCATGAGGGGGGCTAATCCATTCTTAATTCTCCACATATTTTCTTTGTCTCTTTGTCGTTGACCTGCCGCGTCGTATGCAATGTCAAAATCGCGATCGTCTTCTTCCGGTATGCCGAGGGCTTTGCGCCGAGCCTTAAGTCCGCGCAGGTATTGTTTATGTCGCTGACGGCGGCCCGACAGATAGGATATTACCCACAATAGAACGACAAATAGTGCGATATATCGCTTATGATGAAAAGGTGACACCTCTGAGATGTGGCGGGTCAGCCTCCTGATGGACCTATGATACAGCCAGGCTCCACGCAAATCCACTCACCGACTGGCGCAGTCTTATCTACAACCCCTGATTCCTCGTTGTTGTTCCAATATTCTTCGTCTTCAAAGAAGTCATCCTCCCAGAGCGGACGGCGCGTTGGCTTTCTTATGATCTCTGTGTCGTCAAAGGCATCGTCCCAGTAGTTGGAGTCAGGCTCTCCATTGAGATATGATGCGTCTTCACCAGCTCCATAAGCGTTTAGGTCTCCCTCCCAGTCTTGGGTTGGGACGACTTGCGAGGACATAATGGCCGGGGGCGAGGACAAATTACTAGCGTTCAGACGTTGGTATAGGATGGAAATAGAGATTTGAGAGTGGTGGAGAGGTGCTTCCTGCACACAACGACGCCCGCTGAGGAATTAAAGTTTGTAGATGCCGTCGGATGATCTGGGCTGGCCGTCGCTGGGCTTCGTTCTAGCGACAACAAACACCGCACGACACTTTTAAAAAATAGTCAGAGTCGGATCCAGGTTGAATCGGTGCTCCGCGAGATGGGCACGAGGGGTATGGTCTCTGAGACTGGATGTGGCCGACGCTAAGTTGTATGGGGCCATCACCAAAGGTGAGCCTGGAGGTCTTTGTTATCGCATTATGGAGAGATACAGATTGCCACATTCACCATATGGCCTCAAAATCTCGGAAATAATTTACTCTTAATTTTGAGAGCCATGACAACTTGGGTGTTTCGGTTCATGAACCTGCCCACGGTGGCAAAAAGGGAAAAAATATGTTGTCGGCTCAGCTGGGCTCTGCAATCTAAACCATGTATCTTTGTTGAAGATTTACTATTTCATGAGGTATCCCGACGATGGTCGAAGTAATGGTCTCCCAGCATACTGACATGGGCCGAATTCAAAACTCACCCCGGCAACCATATAGAACCCGACAATGACATATGCATACGTGGAATAGAAAGATGTATGATTTTGAGAGAGAAAGAAATAAAGGACTAACAATTGAGATTCTATCCCTATACACCGTACCTCTCTTGAATCACCTCCGAAGGCGTCTTCGGGAGGCTCAATGACCCAGAGAGGTAGGGAAATCTAAGCCGGGTAACCAATAACTACTAATGCATAAATTCCGCATAATCAGAATTTAGGCACCATAGAATCGCCATGCAAAGTAGGCTCCCAAGCAGGCCAGAGGGATCATGAACGCAACGGGGCTATAATGGGTAATGCATAATGAGCACAGAGTAAACAGATATTAGTCAATATAGATGTGGTGCTCACCTGGGACCGCTGTTCGAGACCACGTTGGCCTTTGGAGCATGGTCGGCATTGGCTGAAGGAATGGGTGCCGCTTTGAGTTTCTAGAGAAGATCAATCAGTATTTCTATCCGACCATGACGCAGCGGCTCGCGAAGGAAATGACGAAGGGGAGCAAGAACGTGAATTCATCCGGGTACAAATTTCCCCGCATTCACCCCTGCAATATACGTGTCTCAAATAAGACAGAAAATGGAGCATATTCGATAACAAGTTCGACATGAAAAGGACAACTTACATCACCACCGTCAAAGGTTCCAACCAATAAATCTTTCAACATTCCCCTGGCCTCATCTGAATGGCCAACGTCTTCGAAAGACTCGGTAGCATCCTTTCCTGTAAGATAAACACCCAGTCAATTCCCATTCAATGTGGTTCTTTGGTGGGCGGTTCGAAGAGAAGCAGCCGACTCCCGCGGGCGGGGTCTAGGACTGGTGCTGGCAAGATAATGGGAGAGGTGTTGAGAAACTCACCAGCTTCAGCCATAATAACTTCCTCTCCACCAGGATGTTCGTCGAGGAATTTCGACACGTCGTACACTGTGCATCCAAGGTCAAGTCAGAACACCCCAGTTCGACAAAATGAGCTTGTTCACTCGCAGCCCGTTGCGGACGCGACACAAACGTAAAAAATGATGTAAAGGGACAAACCTTTTCCGTGGAGCAAGATCCATAGGTTATCCCTTTGTTGGTGAGCAGCAAACTCTTCATAAGTAACAACTTTTTCGGCCATGGTAAACCTGGAGGTAGTAAGGTATTAGGGTGCTATGAACGAAGGAGGATGCGTTAAGCAGAGTTTTAGGTATACGTTTTCCTTGAAGGAGGAGGAATGTGCAGACGTGGTCGTGGACAAAGTGCAAAATCTATTTTGCGTTGGCCAAAAAAGGCTGCCGCTCGGATTGTCGAATCATGATGCGATGTTTTGCACACCGTTTGTAGTAATTCACTAAAATTTACAAAAAGAGCTAAAATGTTTGGTTTTGCGAGAGATTATTTATTGAAAGACTCTGGCTCTGTACAGGTGGGAACTAAAAAGATGTATCGTTGGCTTAGTGCTCTCGTTCGCCATCAGGCTCTGCGAAAAGAGCGTGGACCGACGTCGTTTCTCTCCCATGCCCCAGTTAGGACGCGAATGCATACGATACAAAAATTGTATAGCCCTGCGTCCAGGCAAGGGGGCAAGGTGTAAAAGTATCTTGACCACCTGTGACCTAGCCACAATCAGCTGGTCTCGAACAATAGATCCATTTAATGTCTGTTCTGAACGATTTGATTGGATAATACCAAAGAATCTAGTACAAAGACAGGAAATCACGATGACGACGAAGCCTCTTCCTCTGGGATGGCTGGAATGACCTTTAACAACCACTCTTCTAGATCTCTGATCTCTTTAGGTGAACTTCCATGATCCATTCCAGCATATTCTCTCCACGTTAGCCCCTTGATGTCATCGTCCGTTGCATCACGGAATTTAAAAGGTTTGCCTTGAAGCATCTCATAACTTCCCTTGCCAAATTCAAATCGAACAACACCATCATCCGTTCCATGACCAAAGAATATGGGTAAATTCCGAGCGGCGTCGGTCATCATCTAATAGAATAGTCAACAAACTTTCTATGAACCACCAGAAGGAAGATAGAGGCAGGCTGACGCCACAGAGAGGTTTCAAAAAGGAAGCTTACTGATTTCATCTTTCCACTCAACGGC